GTTGATTTTTTTTCTTACTTTTCTATGTTTTTCTTAATGGGTTTGCCATCCACCAACTTTGTCTCACTTTCTTATCCTCCTACTCACAGTGACAGCAAAAAGACAGCAGATACATTCATTAAGAAAATAAATAAAAGTAGAAGAAAAAAATTAAAATATGGCTAATCTTACCGTTACCTGCTAATATGTTTTGCTTTACTTTTGTGAAAATGTAGGTTATATTCTAACCCCTTCCCTGCTCATACTCATACCATGTAATGTTACCGCAGTCACCTGCTTCACTCTGCCTTCAGGAGGGAAAACTTCAAACAATTTTATAAATGAGACTATGTAGTCCCTTTTTAAAGATCTCTAAAGATTTATCTTTATAATTTCCTTTGGTTTTTATAAATTTAGTGACTCCAGACATAATTTCCTCTACTTTGAGTCATCCATTCCCTTCTAAAAATGATAGTATTTGTTAAACACACATGACAAATAATGGGTTTCTCTCTGGGGTTTGCATTCATTTTTTGTTGTTGTAAACTGCTACTCTTATCTCTACTTTCGCAGTAATATTATTGTGATATGTTTATTATTTTGAATTTTTGGTTGGATTTCTATTTTAAATAGCTCCCTTTTTCTTCTTTATCACCCTATCCACCAAAATTAACACATGGAAATTCATGTATGCTGTCCATGAGCAGATTTGCTGGTACTCTTCAAGATTCATTTTTTTGTTGCATATGTATTTATATTCTTTTTTTAAGTCTCTAATATGCTGAGTCTTATATATATGCAGACACATAATTAATGGCAAAGAAGAATTGAGCAGTTTCAAGTGTGGTTTTAAAATGTTGGTAATAGATAATAACTTCTTTTTGGAAAAAGAAAAAAATGTTTTCTTGCTCTGAGTGGGATACCAAGGCTCAAAGGAAAATGGCAAAAGAAACTTAAAATAGCTACTGTCTGGCATATGATAAAAATGTGGATAGTAATAGATTGATTACTAATTTCCTTTGAGAGGATAGTCTAAGTTTTTCCACATATTTGGTGGAGTCAATTAGGATGGTTGTAATATTTTATCAGCATTTTTTTGTGAATCTGAAAGCAGAAATCTTAGACAATGGATGGTTGTGTTAATCTGGGATTTAAAGATTATCCAGGAGTGTGACAGACGGTCAAAGTGATGGCATTCCATGGTGCAAATAAGAACATAATGATATACTGGATCATACATTGTGGTTTGACAGAAACACAAGTGAGGTCCAGAGGAATTATCAGTCAGCTACAAAATCCCTGGAATTCTTATAGCTACAAAAATGAATTATATAGTTATTAGTATTGCTTTCCAAAGGATTCCAAATTTTAATTCTTTCACAGTAAATACATGATATTTTTAAAGTCTACATAAGTCATATATCTTCATGGCAGGCTCCCTGCTTCCAGTAACATGTGCCCATATCATTTTTAGAACAAGAAATAGGACATATAACAAAATAAAGAATGCACGATCATCTATTTTGAAATTCAGGACTATTTGTACATTACAGTGATATAGTTGTAGAGAATATCAGGATTTTATTGATTATAATCAGAGAGATATTAATTACTAAGAGAATTTCCCAAATTGTACTGGCTATTTTCTGAGATCCTTCAGTCACCTAAATTCACATGTGACATGTAGAATTTTCACATTTGGTCGTTTCAGAGATAATTCATATGAACTAATTTTCTAACTTCTTTTACCATCCCAGTCAGGTTTTTCTAAATATACTTCAGTGGATTAAAGTAGTACTTTAGTACTAGACCCAAAGTAGTAGAGGCAAAAGTTTGCACAGTATTTCAGTAAACTCTTTCAATAAAGAGAAGCTTAGAAATTCCATACTTTTATTGAATACTTCTGAGACTGGTTTGACTTATTTGGCCATTCTATGGCCTTATTGCTGCAATCAGAGATATGTATTTAAATATGTATAGTGGTTATTCAAGATCTCTCCTATCTGATTCTTTTCAAAGTTTGCCATGCTTCTTTAATTTATATCTTCTAGTTTAAAAAGTCTTTGGTGCTAGCTGTTCAAAATCTCCTTGAGTCCTTAACTAATACGTTAGCTATATTAGCTTGTTTCACAAGTGTTTTATATATGTTTCTGTGTCTATCCAAATTACTGGGAGTTAGGATTCAGAATTAAAGCCTGGGTACACATTTTTTAAGGAATGTCATTTATTTGAAATTGATCATTAGCACTTCTCATCCACAGATGTTTCATGTTGCTATGGTTTCACTTTATTCAGCTCGTATTAACTTTTTTATCCATGTAGAAGTCATGCAAAACTTGCTGTACTACTTGGTTCATTTTTTTAAAATTTTACTTCAAGTTTACAGATCTTTGTTGCTCTTGTTACCAAATTCTGCAATTTCAGGAGGACAAATTTTATTCTACATATGTACATGTATATGTTTGTATGTATATGCATCTATCTTCTTATCTCTTTCATTTTAGTTCACAGTTTTCTTGTTCAAGTTCAGTGAGCCTTCTGTGAAGTACTCTTTTTGCAGTTCCAGTAAGGTACAGAATACCCCTTATCAAGAGCTCATTATTCCACAATGCTAAGCTTTTCAAGGTGGGAAGCACTTTGCTTCCTAGATCCTCTTTACTTTTAAAAAATCAAACCTTCAACCAGAAAAAAGGGCATTTTAATGTTTCCATGTCTGAGAGCTTTTTATTTGATAACTTAAAGTGTTCTAGAAACATATTTTGGCTTTCTTCCTGTTTCTGATTGCATTCCCAATAATTATCCTGAAAGCGAGCATGCTTTCAGATTAAGAACATAAAATGTACTCTAGGCTAGAGACATAACAGGGACTCCCCATCTACCACTGAACATTGTTATTATTGTATAATGTTATTATTGAATTTTGTCATCCCACACATTATTATTCATGTTGACTGAGATCAGGGACCACCAGCATCTTACATCTCTGGCAAGGACAATCCAGCAGAGAGATTCTCAAACATGTTTGTGCCTATCACAACTTAATTCATATCTTTTCCTTAAATGAAGGAATTATACATATAGGCAAGTTCATATTAATCATGATGCTCCGTTGTATGACTGACATATGTGCTTCTGCAAAGCTCAGGTCTTCTGGGAGAGTACTGATGACTCTTCTACCGTATATAACACATGTAATACAATGTCTCTTCCTTTACTTTCTCTGTTCTGAAACCTATTTCATAATAGACAACTGATAACATTTTTCCCTTTCCTATCAGGTAAGGAAATACTTTTTAAATTCCTATTTAGATTATTTATTTGTGCTCTATAACAAACCTTCAATTATATAGATGTATAGATATGGATACAGATATAGATACATACTCATATATATGAATAGATGTATTTATGTTTCATGTTTTTTGTTATCTGTAATAGATTGAATATTTTAAGATTTATTATCTTTGCATTATTTTAGCAATGTAAGATCAAGAAAATCAAGCTGTAGGACATTGTATCATGACTTTTTTAAACATACTTATATGTAAAGGAATCCCAGTTTTCAGAATAAAAGAATTCAAATGGTTCAATATAAGAAATTAAAGTCTTCAGTGTAATTGTCAAATGATTCACCTACTTTTTAGTGAAAAGGAATTAACTCATAGGTGCAATCGCAGATTGGATTCTCTGGGAAGCAGACTGACTTAGAGTTTAGAGGGCAGGGAGTTTACTGGAGTATGCTCTTGGGAACATTTGTGGACCACAGGGGAATGAAGAAGGGTTGGGCCAAGTAAAAAAATAATAGAGCTGCCGTGCAATTCTAATGCCTGATGGCTGATCCCATAGGAAAGCTCTGGAACTAAACTTGCCCTTCAGCGTTGCCTGCCTTCCGTGGAGGGCTTTACCTTTGTAGCCTTGCAGCAGTGAGTCACTGATATGTGCTGTTCTGCAGGGTGTGACCTTGGGCCAGGCAACAACCGAATGCTAGGGCAACAAGTCCTTCTGTGCAGGGGATCTGTGCTAACCCCAGAAGTGTCTTTTAGCTAACAGAATTGCTGGGATGAGGAATAAAAATGCTAGGGTAATCATACATTGTGTGCCCGTAAAGGCATCAGTACCAATTGGAGGTGAGTTGGTGAAGAGGCAGTGTGACTCTGTGGTTTTGAGTAGGATTCTAGAATGTATTTGGTTGTATCCTTATCCTGATTTACTAACTCTGTGATTTAGGAAATATATCCTCTGGAACTTACTTTTTTATGAATTTTTAAATTATTGTTTATAGTAAAAATTATTTTCTCCTAAAAAGTAAGGAATTTAACATTGTCTACCTTACGAGGTTGTGTAAGCTTATCAAAATACACCATGCAGGTATTTATTTAGTGCATAGCCTTTAAAAAGCACCTGAAAATAGAATTTGGTTTTACTGATCATTAACTTTCCCATGATGTGCGGTCTATGGAAAGAGCTTCAAGTCACAATGAAGTCTAAATAAGCTTTGCAGTTGATTTGAAGTCTTCTTAAGTATATTATCTACACCAGTTTAGATATAAAATAAAAGTTCATTACCTTAAAGTTTTGTGTTCATTACCATCACCTGAATACTCTGCTAAAAACACAGATGTCTGGTGACTTCTTGCTTGTGTTCAGAGTCACCAGGCTTGGGACAGAGTCTGCTGTCTCGTCCCCAAGTTCAGGACCTGCTGGCTTTAAGCCACCTGCATCCTTTCAAATCCTCTGGCTATCATGTCTAAGTCCAAAATGTCTCGTTTCCTCCTGCGTCTGTCTTCCACTCTTTCCCCTCTCTTTCAGTTTGGGTTCAATTAATGTTTCAGTTTGAAAACCAGTATTAGTTTTTTCATGATCGCTCCTTCAGGTTCACTTGTGCTTCTCATACACTGAAAAAAAAACAAAAAAAAATCAAAACCCCAAATCATACCTACCCATTTTATCCATTAACGGAAATGTGCATCTTGACTGGTGGTTTTACTAAGTACGTTTTGTTTTGCTTATGTCTATCATAGATAACACAGCGAGCATTCTGACAAGGCGGAGGAGATTTAGTCGAACTATGCAGGATGTGTATTATCTGCCCATTATGATCTCTGACGGTGGAATCCCCTCTCTCAGCAGCAGCGGGACCCTGACGGTCAGGGTTTGTGCCTGCGAGAGAGACGGGCGCTTGCGGACCTGCCAATCAGAAGCGTTCCTGTCGTCCGCTGGTTTGAGCACAGGAGCCTTAATCGCTATTCTCCTGTGTGTAGTCATTCTCCTGGGTAAGTCATTCTGAATCCTGCCATATGACAGCGCCTCGGAGGGGAGCCTGCCAGGGTCAGGACTGCGTTAGAAAAGAGACAGCGGGGTACACACAGAGAAGGGAGAAAGAATATGCCATTTTGACAAAACCTAAGAATTAATGCAGGAATGAATAACTTGGATAAAAAACCAGCTGCATCTTTCTCAATGCCATAGTTAATCTAGAAATAATCTGATTCAAATGTAATGAAAGAGTTGAAGTATCAGAAGGATAGGAAGAGAAATCTACTTGGAAAGGATCTATTTTAGAAAGAGCTGATATTATTCTAAATCCATTATTGAACAAGCTTTTACAATATATTTTAAAAGATGTGACATCATTCTAAAAGGAATATGAATAACAAATGAAAAATAGGTTTCTTATAGAAATGTTTACTAGTCTAAAAGTTGTCAGTATTGGCTGAATGTTAAAGAACCCAGACTATAAAACTATAAATAATTTTGTCTTTAGAGATATTCAATTTTATTAAATTTAATGGGATTTTGTGAGAGTTGTACTGCATGTAATAAAAAATAAAACATTTTCTCTAATTATGTATTATCATTTTAATAGTCTAAATTTTACCATAACCACATTAGAAGCTATTACTATAAACTCTTTAGAATTACTATTTAAAACAAGACAGCAAACCCAGATTTTTATAAGGATAAATGTGAAAAAATCTTTCTGCTTCATTGTTGAAAGTGGGTACACATTTCTTATTCCAGTGTGCCCCCCCTTCCATCTTTCTCTGTGCAGCCTTATCTTTTGTTCTTTTCTTGGTTCTATGCACCCATGAAAAAAAAATTGTATACTTTGCTGAGACAGAGATTTTCTTGCAAGGAATGGTCTTTATTTTGTTCCTGGGGTAGAAGACAAACTATTTGTACAGAAGGAGTGAAGAGCATGGTAGAAAGAGGCTGAAAAGTGGAATGAATATTTAGGCAGAGGTGAGAGTTTGGGGCTTCACTGGGCATGGTAAAGATGGTGGACTTTGTTCTAGGTGTGCAAAAGAGGTTTAAAGCAGGAGACTCCCATCACAACATTTATATTTAGGACAGTGTGACCATGAACAAGGGAGGGAAAAGATCTCATGATGCCAAGCGAGCATATAGGCAATGAGGTTAGGAAGACAATGCAGCTATATGCTGTTCAGCATGGTTTGGACTAGCACATGCTTAGGGCAGAGCTGAAGAAAGATGGATAATATCAAAATGTTCAGGAGGCTAGAGGTGAAATCAAAAGTCATCTTGGAGAATTGTTTGCAGATTCTTGGATAAAACTTTTTATCAGAATCTTAACTGTATGTTTACTGGGAGTACCTGAGATATCACTGGAAAATTGCAATGTTAATAATTTCATACCAGTGAACAAATACCTAATGTTTATGACACATTATCATTTCCTTGAAAAAAATCTCCAAGGGCTAACAATAAAGTAGACACAAATAAAAAAATAAAAAGTAATCTTAGATAAATTAGGTATGTGGCTGAGTTAGAACAGTACCAAGGAGGACTTTTCATCCTTTGCTGAGCATGGGTCCTGATCGTCCCAGAGCTGGGGGACACCAGGAGACTACTTTATTGAAGGTACTACAGCAAGAGAGTATAAACAGGGAGACAGTAAATCGGGATAGAGCTGTGATGGGCTCCAATGTGATCATTAAATCAAGGAGATGAGAGTACAGAAGAGAGCAGAAGAGAAATCGGGAAAGAAGGAAGAAAATGAGTACAGTATAATGTCATAAAGGTCAAAGGAAACCACTGGACAGAGCATTCAACAAGTCAAAAGCTCCACAGAGGTTCGATCAAGTCCACTGGCCTTAGCAAAGTAGAGCCTGGAGGTTTGGGGCACCATCACAAGGACTCTATGGTTGCAGTGCAGTCTTTTATAGTAGATTCAGTTTGGAGAAGGAAGCCAGGAAAATCCAGCTTTCTAAATTTTATTTATTTATAAATTGATTCATCATAACCACTCCTTTCTTTAGACATTAACATTTATTTTTTGTTTTGTTTTGAACAATTAAGACAAAAAACTCAGAAGCAAACCAAAAACTACCAACATTGCTCCTTCTAGGGTTCCTAACTTAAACCACAAAGAATTGAACTCAGTGACTTTAATGTAAGTTCTTCTAGTCTTTATTCTGGGAGATAAAGACAGTTTAGTTGGAGGAGGCATGTTACCTTTGCCTTTGTTTGCACTTATCACAATAAAGCTATTTTTGTATACTAAGATAAAAGTTTGAAAATTAATTGTAAAATGTTAATTTGTAGGTACAATTAAGGCAAATTATGTATAATATATTTTTGTGTGAAACAATACTTCCCTCTTATGAAAATGCTGTTTTCCCTTTGGGGTAAATAAGAGAACTCTCTAAATCTTATTCTATCCCTTAGGACTAGTGGAACAAAGATGTTATTTAATATGTTTACTCCTTCAACTGTTATTGAAATTCAAATGTGCTTCTCCAGTTTTATCCAAAAGTTGTGGAATAATTTCTTAAGCTTGGGTTTAAATCATTATTTATAATGCAACATATATTTTTATTGGCATGGTAAGGGGAGTTTTTCATTGTTATTTACAAGGAATCTAGCCAACAAACTCAGAATGTAGCCATTTGTACTTTTGAAATAATTTTGGCTAATACACGAGCTCATAATCTTCAAGGAAAATATCAGCACCACCAGAAGTAGCCAAACTTTATTATAGAATTTATAATTCTCTAATAACATCCAACCCTAACAGGTAACCAAATTGTGATATTAATATTGTTAATATTGAAATATGCTGTAACTATTAGCTATTTGTGAAAATGACTGCGAGTGTATAAGGCCATCTTTAATTTTGCTGCTAATGATTGATGTGATCCCAGGTGACCTATTCAGTCTTTTGTTTCTATTTGCAAATCTGTGAAGATAAGGTTTCAACTAAAAAAACCTGAGAGTCAGCTATAAAATTTTGTGATGCTTATTTATATTTTATAATAGTTTAACTATGATTCAAAATTTTAAAGTATGGTCAGTCTCCATCTATATGTGTATTGGTTATTCTAAAATGGTGCTTGAAAAGCAAAGGTTTTAACTTTGAATGGTAGATAGACATGTTATGAATTGGGTTATGTTCTGTCAGGATTACCATTGTCAGGTCCATTGTATTGGATGATTGGGAGAGAATTTAGAGTAAGCCTTTATAATGCAATCACAATTTGGTGCTAGCAGAAGGTGTACTGGAGTCTTCTTTACCTCCCAGGGATCTGACATGCATTTCCCACCTGCACCCCACCTTCTTGTGGAGGGACCAGAGCAGTTGGCAGAGCTAACCTAAGTTACACTTGGCAAAGAAATCACTGAATCAGGCTCTGAATCAGAATTCTGCCAACTGTACTTTAAATCGCACATCACATGCAGGGGACTAGCTAAGTCCACCACCTGGATGTTTCCTACCGTTGGATACACATGTCCTGATAAATGGGGATCAGGGTGGATTTGGTGTGAGTGGAGTAAGGGATGAGAAGAGGAAGGTAGATTTGGTGAGGAGATAACTGCCAACCTGTTGTCATCTGACCTATCTGGAAGGACTCTATGGATACTCTGTGGGCTCCCCTTAGTTTGAAAAAAAATAAGTTTCAATGAAAAGGGCCATTACCTGGTAGCCAATAGCACTACAGAAGTTAATGAAAATAATCTCCCTGACTTGAGCCACCTCATTTCTACCAAATTTAGTACTAACATATGATGGTATAAAAAAGAATAAAGTGATCTTTAGGGGTAAAAATATCACCTACAAGAAGTATTTTGGGGAAGGATGTTGGGAGTCAGGACACAGTGTACCTAAGTGCAAGCTGTAAGACAGTTCAAGTTGCAAAAACTCAAAACCCCTTAGAACTATAAGCTCTACAATTGATAGATAAATAATTAAATGGTGTAAGAAATGCAAATTCAAAAATATATCCCCAAATTTTAATTCCTTTATGATGAAAATAATGAAACTTAATAAATTAGTTCTAATTTTCTTTAAAAGATAAATCAAGTGAGTTTGAAATCCTGGCCAAACTCAAAAATAAAAGAAGAAAAATAAATTTACCAAGAATAAATAGAGAATTTAGAATAAAGATGTCTCAAAAATATTATAGTTTATTCATGTTTTGATCCAGATTTTATACAAATATCAAAAATCTTTATAATTTTGAACAAGGAAAGATAATCACTTTATATATATTCATTTTTTTAACAAGTTCATGGGTATATCTTATTATATCTTCCTAGATGACCCACTGTAAGAAGAGGTTATCTTATTTCACATGTGTGGTTTGATGGACTGTGGGGAGGGGTCATTTGAATATACTCAATTTAACTTCAGTTTTTACATAAGGACTTAATTCTCAAATCTACTTCTATAATTATTATCTTTATTCATTCTCTTAAAACACATTTCATTTGATCTTTGGATTTTTTTTGCACATTTGGTTTGGTTTTCAAACATTAAAAATGTTCTCAGAATAACCAGGTGTTTGGCATTATTAGCAGCCATAAGCTGATTTAAAAATACATTTAAAATTATTTTCCTAGTGAAGTTATTACTATGCATGAAGATGCACTTAACACAATGCCACATTATCAGTTTCACAGAGATTACTCCTTTGTTCATCCATACAAAAATTGTTTATGGAATATCTCTGTATGCCATCTGCTCCAGAAGCATCTACTGAACAAACATGAATGTAAAGTAGTTGATTAGGAGCATGTTTAATCATCCATGTTTCTGCATTCTTCTCTGAGTTGGTTTGCATTTGCCTTTGATTAGAAGGACCATATGTCCATATTTGACCTGATGTCTTATATTAATTATAAACAAAATCCCCTTTCATTCATAAAAGTATCTCAGATTGTATGGTTTTAATTATATGTTGACCTTATATTTAATTGGTATGTAACAAACGTAGGAATCTTTGATGACTGGCAAATGACTAAGTGTGAAAAAGAGATAGATACAAAACCTCAAAGTTCAAAGTGAATTAGTGTCTATGTTTTGAATCAAAATATATCAAGAATATTTTCTAAAAGTATAAGGAATAAACAAATTTAAATATCTTAATAACAACCTCAGCATCACCCCCTCTATCTCATTAGGCAAATATGGAATTAATATTGATAAAGGATGCAAATTAACACAACACTTTGATAATAGTATTGATCACACTCTCCCTCTTAGAGAAGCACATAAATTCCCTTGACATCAAACACGAAACATTTCAACATAAGGGAAAATAACTTGATTTATTCACAAAAGTCAGAAACTTTACTGTAATAAATTAGGCAGTCTGTAGAAATGGATCTTTAATCTAGAACATCCTTCTCCCTTAATCATAAAAATGAACAGAAATATACAGTGGGCAATAAATTTAAATTTCTGAGTACAGTGGAGTGAGTACTTGAGGATGTTGTATGGGCCAATGAATTAGAAAGATCTAAACTGAATTTACACACAAAAAAATAGTAAGGTATTAAATGCATACTGCATTCAGCAAAAATCTTTTTTTTATTTTTTTCAAAAAATATAGTATTACATTAGATAATGCCTTTGCAGTGTAAGCAACATGTATGGAAAATCATTTTGTGCCATAGCATAGTATTTGTGGATCAGGGCCACATATATCATGAGCATTTCCTTCTCAGCTTTCTGGAATCACTACATTCCAAACACAGTGACTCAGTGTTTCCCCATGTGTGTCATCATCTTTCACACTGCATTTCCCCATTACCTAGGCAGTATCCTTTAATTCCATACTCTTCAAGATGGTTATCTCACCTTCCCTATAGATGTTTTGTCCTTTCCGTTGTCTTCATTCCCATAGACTCTCATTTACCTTTTCTCTGGAAAATTAGATTCCTCCAGGGCACTGTGACCATCTCTTTCCACATATAGTAAACTTCTCTGCTGTAATTATCCTTTCCACTTCTGACTTGAAAATAGATTCTTCTGCCTCTCCATGTTGTCAAGTCTTAGAAGCACATGCACAGTGTAACATCTAGTTTAAAAACAGGCAGAGTTCAGCTATATTAATTAGGGGTATAAATACAAAAAGTTATAAAAAGAAGTAAAGAAACAATAATGATAAAAATAGGGATAGAAGTTAATTTCTAGAGGTAAGAGGGTGCTTTTTAGGGTTCCAGGTACATTCTTTATTGGAAAACAGCAAACCTGGTATTTGTTTACTTTATAATCATTGGTTAAAGATTACATGGAGTTAGCATTGCTAGATAAAATACAGTATACAAATAGATAAAATGCAATATACAAATGTGCATTTAAGATTAAAAAATATGTGTATATATCCATAGGTATATATTTGTGTGTGTATTACATATATATAATATGCACACACATATATAGCATATCACATACAATATATACATATGTTATACATATGTATACATATATATGCATTAATACATAGGTAAAATTTATCCATATATGTATTTATATGAAAAGTGTGGTCATACAATATTTGCATTTGTGTGTAATCTCAAATATTGCATATTGCATGGAGAATACTCAATGTCTACATATCTATGTTTATTTATGCATATGCCTATATAGCATATATATATACAAGATATACATTATATTTAGCATAATTATATTATATTATATTTAGTATTGGCTTTATCTTGTATTCAAATGACAAAATATGCATATTGTTATTTATCTCAAGTTCACATTTAATTATTTGCTAAATCTAACAACCCTATATGCCATTGCAATCACTTCTCCATCACATTAAAAAGAATGTTTAAAACAATAATAAACGTAATAATGACTATCATAAAACTTAATGTATCAGTTGATCAAAAAAAGAATAGTCTGCAGAGCTAAAGTAAAGGATATTGTGATTAAAGACCCAAAGTGGAAGTGAGGTCATTCTATTTAGGAATGGTTTCATACCATCAAATAGAAAGACTTGAAAATACTGAAAAACTGCCAAAGTGCCCAAGACCCATTTCTGTCATTCCATTCAATGGTTGTAGCACTATTGTTAATAAGCCACATGTCCATCTGGCCACTCAGTTTCTTTCTATATATTTTTAAATAATGAAGAAAGTAATGGAAACCCCATCATGTTTGGCATGAAAAGTCATCGGTTCCAGCACCAGCTCACCTACCATTTGTATGATCGTAGACTTAGATCTTAGTTATCCATGCCGTCTCTCTTGAGGCTGTTTCCTCATTTCAAAAATGGGGACAGCCATAGCTCTTCTGTGAGGAGTAAGTACATTATGTAAAGAACACTTTGTAACCTGAAAAATTCCTAGAAAACAGAAATTGGGTACAAGGAAATTAACATTTTTTCAGCTTGATAAGGAAATGCAATTATTAATACATGATAACATTCTAAAGGTAAAGGATGAAAGAGACTAGCCATGTAAAATATCGCTGCTCTGATTCCTACAAGCGTTAAAAGTAAAGGGTCTAAGGTAGGGGCTCCTTTCTGTCCAATAGAATCCTAAAATATCCTGCCTTTAATGTATGTAACTGGAAGGATTATGTATCTGTAGCTAGACCAACCCACACCATTATTTTTCTCCTTCAAGTTTTCATGTTGCTTTTCTGTCATCTGTTAAACACTGTCTAGCCTGCAATGAATCAAGAATCGTGAAAGCAGAAGCCTGGCCCATGAGACTATTGGGGTTTCTAGAGAAGATCAGCAATTCCCAGTGCTTTGCAGAGATCATTTTTTTCCCCTTCTTTGAGTTATTAGAGAGTCTTGAAGTGTTATTCAGAGAGTGCAGAGATCAGGGTCATGTTACAACGCAAACCTAAATGGAATATTATTGATGACGGGGGTGGGAATTTGCTGATGTCAATTCTCCAAGAATTGCTTTCTTTTTTTTTTCTAATATTCATCCTCTTTTCATTTTCCCTCAGCAATCGTAGTACTTTTTATCACATTGAGACGCAGCAAAAAAGAGCCCCTGATCATTTCAGAGGAAGATGTGCGGGAGAACGTGGTCACCTATGATGACGAGGGGGGCGGCGAGGAAGACACTGAGGCCTTTGACATCACAGCCTTGAGGAATCCGTCTACTGCTGAGGAGTTCAAATATCGGAGAGATATCAGGCCCGAAGTGAAGCTCACCCCCAGACACCAGATATTGTCCACTCTGGAGAGTATAGATGTTCAGGAATTTATTAAGCAAAAACTGGCAGAAGCTGACTTGGACCCCAGTGTCCCCCCTTATGACTCCCTTCAGACTTATGCCTATGAAGGTCAGAGGTCAGAAGCTGGGTCCATCAGCTCACTGGATTCAGCCACGACACAATCAGACCAGGATTATCACTACCTTGGAGACTGGGGGCCTGAGTTTAAAAAGTTAGCTGAACTCTATGGAGAAATAGAATCTGAAAGAACAACTTAGGGGGGCAATCGTGCAACATTCTAGAATTTGCTTCCTGAGTACGTGGAGATACAACCTCAGCAATGGCAAAGAAGAAATGTGGAAACAGTACTTGGAAAAGTGCAAGCTGTACACAGCTTCTGTAGAAACAAGTGCCCTTTTCATGATGAAAACTGGGTTATTTAATCATCACAGAGTCAAATTAAAAAAATACAGAGAAAAAGCTGTTGTTCCTTGTGTATATTTTCAAATGCTCAATAAAGTCTGTGGTCCTGTTTAATTAAGAATACCTGAATTAAGCCAAATGATGATATTTGTTTCCATATTTTGTGATTTCTTTCAAGAGCAAAACTAAATAGAAAGGTTCAAAATAACTTATAACTGATTCTCGGGTGGCACACCACAAAATGAAATTTGTGAAGGTAACCACTGACTCTTTTTCCACTTTTCTGGGTGAACTCTTGAGACCCACACCCTGTTATTGAGACAGATCTTACTCGCTTTGTCTTGTATTCACATGACATGAGGGATATCCAGGATACCATGCCATGCCATCATGGACTTGTGTGTACCATTTTCCTTTGCCCTCCCCACTTCTTTTCTCCATACGAAGTTGATGGAGCATGGGGATTTGCTGCTTGCACTATAATGTATGCAACTTCTGTGCACCAGATGTGCACTGCTCTCAGAGACAACCGTCTCTGTCCTGCCTGCCTCCCTTTTTTTTGAACAGAAAAAGACCCCCACCTTCTTTTTTTGAATGGTTTAAGACATATTTAGATAATCTGATGTGTCAGGGAATGTTCTAATTAAAAAAATAGCTACAAACCTTATCCTGTACAAAACACTGGGGGATTCTATTCCTGTTTCCATTTGGATTTGCACAGGGAAATCAGCAGAGTTGATCATTCCTATACCTAAAATTAGTTTTCAAAGTTTTGCTGATCACTTTATACTTCAGTATGGTTTGCTTATTTGTAACATGAGCAGCCATCAAAAATAAGTACCTCATATAACAACGTAGTCTGAAAAGATTATCCTCCAGTTTACATTCGCTTCATAGGCTAATGATTGACTTACCTTCATTCCACACATAGGTTCAGACTTTTCCCTGCCTCATTGACTGATTAACCTTTATGTATCTGGGATCTACAGGAAAATGTGTTGGAGTAGGAGGAAAAAACCTTGGACATTCACACTTATCCTTGGGTATGTCCACCAAAGGCTCTTGAGCTTTAAAGTCACAAACTGCAAAACAGAAATGTCGGAGACTTCCTTGCTTGCCTATGGGGGAGGACAAATAAACATCTGTAAAAATACTTTGCCAACTGCAAAGTGTTGTGGCTTGCAGATGCTAATTTTCTAATTCCACTAGCCTATAAGTGTATAGTTACACACATGTTCAATAAAATAGTATGTCATCATAGAATTTCATAAAACCTTCAACAGTGAAGCAATTGTTAACTAACCATATAATATACAAATTTAATTTTTTGATATTTCCCCAAATAAGCTAATTTTCTTAAAATTTCTTGGGGTTTTTCTCCCCACATTGTTTAGATATTCTGCTGTTCTTGCTATTGGTCTTGACATAGAGCTCAGAGCATAATGGTCCTAGTCTCAAAAACTGACCACACTTATGTATTTAGGGCGAATTGGAATTTTGAAAGCCACAAATCAAGAATTATTTCAAGGGGGGACTTTTTCTTTTGCTCTTTAAATTTATTATAATCTAGTGTCCTGAAAAGTCATATGACATTTTCTGTCTGATTCTACCTATGTGCAAAATTTGGAATTTTGCCTCTGTTTGCAACTGCCCTGTGCTATCATATTTCAATGTTGAATATGGGAAGTAACTAAGTTTAATTTGAATAATTCTCAATTTGTGTTTCAAGCCTGAGGAATAAAATGTAATTTAAGTTTTTTACAACATTTCAGCTTTCCAGATGCTGCTTTATCATTTTTTTTTCATATTTTAATGGTATATATGCTGGTATAAAGCTAAATCAAAAGAAACACTCAGGGGCTTTGGGGAATAACCTCTGGAGATACGTACTCTGATTATGCTGATACTGTGCTACATTCACCCTGAATGAACCATTTTGGAGTTCTTTGGAGAACTACAGTGGATCTTGGTGTTTGGACTTTCCTGTGAAGAAGACTAGGAAGGCCAGATTTGGGATGTCTATAGGCTTCTAGATTTAGATTCCCGATAAACTATCCATGGCTTTTGTCTGTTTTTGCTTTGCTTTGTTTTGTTTTATTTTTAATATTCAACTGGTAACTTTACAGATGAGGGTTTGCAGGATGAAAATGTGGGTATACATTTAACTATTTATGTAAAAGTTAAGGTCCTCTGAATGAATTGCATACTAAAATATTTCCCTGATTTTGTGGATAAAGTACTCCAAATCCATTAGTTTTAATTTACACATTTTAACGATAATGAATTGCTTCTAAGCCCCTGATAATAAATCTAATATGGAGGAAAAATGGAGCTTCTGTAGTTTTGAAATATTATCTTTCCATATTGACCTATTTTAGAATTCTGTTAGTGAATGCATTCCAAATATTATTTTTATATGAACTCTGAAACTAGGCAATTATATCATTATTATAAATATGGATTAAGTCTCTTTTATTAATTCTTCTACTTTAAGAAAACAATATTAATGTATATGATATATACTCTGCAAATGGACTGAAGTCATTTAACAAATCTTTGCTTTAAAAATTCTATCTTATCAGTGTTAGAATTCTCTAAAAGTTTAGTAGGCCAAGTATGTTTTCTCATCAACTCTGAGCACTTACTAGCCACAGATAATCAGCTATGGATTCACTAATGTATCTCAGTACATTTCATAAGTCTTAGTTGATATTTATAGATATAAATAAAATATAACTTTGAAATCAATTTACTTCTTTCTAATAAAATAATTTTCTGCCGACAGACCTTGCATAAAATTATGGCTGCTAAATAAGAAGACATATGCATAATTAGGATCATTTGTTTATCTAAGTTCTTTCTTATGAGAATTTATCAATACCAAATCTTCTTTGTACAAACACTGAGAGTCCATAGGTATTGCAGAAATCACTAAAGACCTCTCATCAGAAATTCTATGGCAAATCTATAAAAACACAGATTTGAAGAGGAAATTGAAGAAGAAATTATCCCTAAGATGAGGCTCTATTCAAAGTTAACTTGTGACTTTCCTACAACCTTGTAGAAGAAGAAAAATATTCTGAGAAGTTGCCCTCACATAACCATACTCCTTTACACCCCCACATACACAAATATCTTTTTGAAGAATATTTGGAGAATAAAAGAATATTAAAAATAGTGACTTGGATATTGATCTGACCCAAATATGTGATGTATACAGAATTCTAGTACCCAACATTTGGAAGATTCAGGTTCAAGTTAATGGACACTTGTGGCCTTTATTTCGTATCCAACCTCAGGCTAATAACCTTCAACACTGTCAAAGACTGGAGATGATTCATAAGTGTGATTATACAGAGAAGAAGAAATTATCTAATAGTTATAAACCACAATTTAAAAATGGGAATTTAATGAACACAGGGTGACTGTTAAATACAAGTGCTTTGACATAGATACTTTGTGTACTCCAGTGTAGCCAGAAATCTCGGTAGAAGGAAGGAGATGTTGAGAGTCCACCATTTTCAGCAATGCAGACAGCTTAAATACCAAATTAATTATTGTTTTTTTTTTGTTCTTACAGAACTGTACCAATAGGTTTTTAGCTCAATATGCAGGAGAAACAAAGAGAAATTCAGGTAGATTCATTCATTTCAGCAGCCATCAAAAAGTGCCAGTTAAATGAGCATGACAATAGGTCCCTGGAACATGCATTAGATCCAATACATTTGGGTTTGGGTAAGTCTTCATTTGCTTTTTAGTGTAGATAGAGCTTGATCAGCTATTAAATCAGAACTCTAAGGCTGATTATTCTGGAAAGAGGAAAGAGATCTGTTTCAAACTTAAATTGTACTTAGCTTCAAGGAATGGTAACATTTAACTTACTTGGCTTTCAATTTCAAGAATGGAATGAATATCAGAATAGTTCTTGGAAGATATGTGATACAAATTCAAATTCTCTTTCTCCTTTTTATCCTTTAGGATTAAAGGCAAATTAATTATTATCTGAAGGAAACAAAACCATTTCAACTTTTATTTTCTACTTCATCTGCAGAAGGTAAATCTTTTGCAATATAAAATTGGAAATCTCATAAACCCTACAGCTAAAAATAGCTCACAACCATTTGAAGATAAAACTTGCACCAAACCCACTCACTTTTTCAAAGTTCCAAATATGTCATTTTAAAGTGAAAATAATATAGCAGCACTGTTTAACATGTCGAAACATGTTAACCTGGCCCTTTGACTTGTGCCAATGAAAGATGTCTTTAGAAATTGGTTTTTTTTTCAGTTTTCAATAAGGAAGAGATCAGAGAAAAACATAACATCCTTCTTTAAAGTATTGATGTAAAAAAAAATGTTCTTACGCTAGTGAGGAATGATTACATTTATACACCTTGCTGAATCTACAGAAATAAAGGATCTTTGCCCTTCAACACTCAGACATCAAACCTGCTTTAGTAATGATTCATTTGTAAAGTATTAGGTGAAGATGAATGGAGAACATAGGCATTCAAGGACTTCTGAAATTATATCCTGTGAGGCAGGCACGTGCCATGTATAGATTGAAGTGGGTTCATCACATGGTTACATCTTACTGTCCAGCAATATGAGCTTTGAAGTTAAGAAAATGGACCACAATAGTTAGTGTCACTCTAACAATTTCAAGACAATTTTTCTTATGTCATGCATCAAATTGTTACTCTAAGTCACCTATTGCCATTTTCAGAGTGATATTTCAAATGCCTTAGTTTCAAATAGAAACTCTTACAATCTAATATTTATTGATTAAGGTCTTCTAATTATGTACTGTATAAAAGATACTATTCCAGGTCTTGAAAGCGATGTAAGAAGAATG